GGTCCACGTCTTTTTTTAGCCCCCATATAACGGTACCTCCCGATATCCGGTACTTTGATGATTTTAGCGACATTATTCACCGGAAATGTTTCAGATTTGGTATTTGAAGTTCGTAATGATAACTACAACCTGAGACAGAAAATTTTTTGTGCCGGTCCACGTCTTTATATAGCCCCCCCTGTAACGGTAAAACCCGATATTCGGTATTTTGATGATTATAGCGACACTATTCACCGGAATTATTTCAAATTTGGTATTTGAAGTTCATAATGAATGTTACAGCCTATGACAGAAAATTGTCTGTGTAGGTCTACGTTTTGGAATAGGCCCTATATAATGGTGCCTCCCTATATTCGGTATTTTAATGATTTTAGCGACACTATCCACCGGAATTGTTTCAAATTTGGTATTTGAAGTTCGTAATGGATATTACAGCCTATGACGGAAAATTGTCTATGCCGGTCCACGTCATGGTATAGCCCACATATAGCGGTAACCCGGATATTCCGTACTAAGACATAAAATTTTCGGCCGAACTTACATCTTTTTTACTTTTTTTTTTCGAGATCCTAGGATAATTTTCAAATTGAAGGGTGTGTCATTTGACTTCTTTGAAATCTTAAAAACAACAATGTTCAATTGAGTCCAGGTTTTAGAATTCTGTACAAAAAGCTTCACCACCCAGTTAAATGTACATTTAACGATTACTTACGTTATCAGGCCGTGTTGAACCAATTTTTGTTCACAAAAATTAAAGTGGAGGATATTGTCGAAAAAAAAAACACATTTCAGATATATTTTAAATATTTTTATATATATATATATTTGTATAGTTTAACTGATTTATTTTTAAGTTATTATTTTTTATTGCATTCTAATAATAAGCTTTCTATTAACTAAATATATATAATTTTAATTTTTTATGTTTTTCTATGTTCGATAATTCATGTTCGTAGGTAATCTTACAAACTATTTACAATTGAATACACTCAAAAAAGAAAGTTTTAAAAGAAATACAGAAACGATACTAAAATGATAAGTTACCAACAAAATTGATATTCTGATGCGAAGCCAGACACAATTTTTTCATAAAAAATAAAAAAAAAAAAACAAAGTACAAAAAAATAGATAAACTTTAGGTGAATAGCCTTATAGAATACAATATACAAAGTACTTAAATCATTGCTGATGTATTACATTTTATCATTAATTAATTTCTTGTTCATTTTTAATATTATTACTTATTTTTCTTAAATTATGTTTAGAAATAAGCAAAATATATTTTGTAGGATTTATATCGTTTTTTTATTATTTGACAAATAGAAGGGTATAGGATATAATTTTCTTTTAACTAGGTTTTTGTTTTATATTTTGTAGGTAGTTGGGAAGGGGGTGTTGGAGGATGAAATGTTATGTAGTGCTGTGGTATTTTTTCTAAACTAGTTGTGCGAGTTTTGGTATGAAGGAAAAAGGGAATATTTGAAATGCATTCTCTGATTATTATTTGTTTATTTGGTGGGTGAAATTTTCTTTGCATTTTATTAAAAAATAGGGATGCCTTATAAAAATATATTTCTTGTAAAATAATAATATTAGAATATGTTATTTTCATAAAAAAATAAAAGTAGCCCAAGGCCAGATGTATAAAAACTATGAGTATAATCAATGAATGTAGAATGGAAAATTGTATGTTGTAACTAAAAGAAAAGCACTGGACAGATCTTAACTCAGACTGAGATGTCTATAAGGCAAACATCAAGACGTGTAAATTTGAAGACGTAATTTATAAGACGAACTTATTGCTGTTATTGTGTGAGTCGATTGAATGAATCAATGCATCTGGATGATCTCCCAAAGAACTTTCAGATAGATGATGTGTGGAGATTTTAGACTACAAAATTAACTTCTAAAACTAAATATATAAAACGGAAATATATGGAGTCTGTTTCTACCACTAAAACATATAACTGTGAAGGGAGTTAAAAGTATTTTACATGCCAAAATATGGTATAGAACAATTTGTCCGCCATCCATCTGTTGTAAATTAAAAAAAAGCTGATATATTTTTAAAAATAAAAATGAACAATGTCGTGGTTAACGTTACTAGTGATCAATACTTCCAAATGAGACTAGAAGTAGAAACAAATAAAAAGAGTCTGTTTTGTTTTTCAATACCACTATTTTCTTTCAAATAGAGCATATTTGACTCTGTCCGAGTACTTTCCTAGTTTTTATGTTATGGTTGTTTTCTTTCCATGTAAGGGATGCTTCTGGTGTTTTTGCATACACAATTTGCCAGGTTCTTGTATTTCTTTCTGATGTTTTGGCTTCTTAGATTTGGTATACAATCTCCCTCACAACCCTATTTACAGGTACATTAAAAAACTCTGGGCACCAAAAATGTTGAGAACGAAAGAATGTATGGGAAAGCCAACATAAGCCAACAGCCAACATAAGCAAATACGGCCCTCAAAACCGATTTAAAATCGACTTTCCGTTAATTTGACGTTTCGGTAGAAAAAAGTCGGATTTCCGTTCCATCGACTTATAGAATCAGCAAAAATTCTATTCTTGGTTAGTTTTATCAATTTTTCTTAATTTAATTTTTAATTATTTCGTTCCCAATCCATAATCACCTAAAGTTGTTTCTATATTTCTTTTTACGGGAATAGTTCCCATAAATTAGAAGAGAGAGAAACGGTCTACAGGTATATATTAGGATATCACCCACTATTTTTATAATATCCACGATATATAATAAGGCGGAACTGTTGTACCGAATTGTGAGTCGATGTTGAATGTTGTAAAGAGTTCAAAATACATACTGCACCTAGGAACATTTTTTGTATATTTAGAGACATTATAAAATACGGCTTGAATTGAAAATCATTCAATCCTCAGAATCCTATTCCAAGGACTTTTTCAACTTTTTGCAAGAAACATCTTACTCGACAGTGGCTCCAAAATTTCCTAAATTTTCATCAGTCTTTCCAAGATTTTATCTCATTTGTCAATCATTTTCAAAGTCAATTCATAATTTGGACCTGAACTAAATAAATATAGTAAAAGTCAGTTTCAGCATAACGACTCGAATGAAAACACAAAATAAACCTTCATTACAAATAAAATTTTCAAATAACAATTGTGTAAGTCTAGAAACTAGGTGAACGACCTAATTGCTTAAAAAAAACGGGCATGGATCCGTTATGAGAATTTTATTGCCGAACTGTTTTTCCAATTGATTTTTATTTATTCTTAAAAGTACTCATCATGTTCTGAATAATCTCTATGAAAATGGATCTTTATCTTTATTTGAAAATAGTGTTGTAATTATAATTGATCTATAAATGTTCTGAAATTCCTTGGCGACAGCTCAATTCTAAAATCTCACATATTTTTTTTTTCTTTTTATACCCTACACCACATAGTGGTAAGGGTATTATGTCTTTGTGCATTTGTTTGTAACATGGAGAAGGAGACGAGATAGACCCATAGTTACTTTTGAGAACCTTCATAGAATCACTTTCTGAGTCGATTTATGCATGTCCGTCCGTCTGTCCGTCCGTCCGTCCGTCCGTCCGTCCGTCCGTCCGTCCGTCCGTCCGTCCGTCCGTCCGTCCGTCTGTCCATGTATTCTTGTGAACAAAATGCAGGTCGCATTTATTATCCGATTGAGATGAAATTTTCCAAACAATATTTTTTGGCCCAAGGACGAACCCTATTGAAATTGGTGAGAATCGGATCAAATTTAGATATAGCTCCCATATATATCTTCATCCGATTTCGGGTTAAATGAGCACCAAATGTCCACTATCAGTCCAAATTGCCTGAATTTTGGCACACCCAACCGAGTTCGGCCTAGAAGCAAGTATATCAAATTTGGAGAAAATCGGTTCAGATATAGCTATAGCTCCCATATATATCTTTCATCCGATTTGATCTTTAAGTCCCTCACAGTCCTACTATGCTCTCCACAACCGTGATATTTGGTACCAGGTATTAGATGGAGCACAGAAATAGCTGTTTTAAATTTTATCGAAATCGGTTCAGATTTGGATATAGCTCCCATATATATCTTCATCCGATTTTGGGTTAATTGACCACCAAATGGCCAATATCAGCCCAAATGGCCCGAATTTTGGCACATGTGACCGAGATTAGCCTTAAAGCAAATACCACAAATTTGGAGAAAATCGGTTCAGAAACAGCTATAGCTCCCATATATATGTTTTATCCGATTTGGTGTTTAAGCCTCTCACATTCGTAATATGCACTCCACAAGAATGATATTTGGTACCTGATATAAGATACAACCCAGAAATAGCTGTTTGTAATTTTATCGAAATCGGTTCAGATTTGGATATAGCTCCCATATATATCTTCATCCGATTTCGGGTTAATTGTGCACCAAATGGCCGATATAAGTCCAAATGGACTGAATTTTAGTACATCGGACCAAATTCAGCCTAGAAGCAAGTATATCAATTTTAGTGAAAATCGGTTCAGATATAGATATAGCAACCATATATATGTTTCATCCGATTTAGTGTTTTAGTCCCATACATTCGAAATATTCACTCCACAACCGTGATATTTGGTACCAGGTTTTTTGGAGCACAGGAATAGCTGTTTTAAATTTTATCAAAATCGGTTCAGATTTGGATATAGCTCCCATATATATCTTCATCCGATTTAGGGTTAAATGTGCACTAAATGGTCAATATCAGCCCAAATCACCTGAATTTTCGTACATAAGACCGAATTCAGTCTAGAAGCTAATACGTAAAATTTGGAGAAACCCGGCTCAGAGATAGCTATAGTTCGTAAAATGCACGATAGAATTAGATAGATTTTGATTTTGTACCAAATATCTCATAGAGCTCTGAAATGCCCTGTATAAACCTTTTTACGAGAGCTCTACTAAATATGCATAGTGGTGTAGGGTATCATATAGTCGGCCCCGCCCGACTTTTGAGCTTTCCTTACTGGTTTTTTTTTTTTTTTTTGCTTTACAATCGTAACTTTACTTTAGGTTCGTGTTTTCTTTTCTTGCGGCTGGCAAACAATGTAAAATATTAGCATTTCCGCTCCCTTTCCTCCCTTCCAAGATGATAAACGGTCACGTGCTTCCCTTCCACCATCTAATTCTCAAATTATAGGTTATGTTTGGCTTTCGAATCAAAAAATACACGCTAAATGATTACATTTTCAAAATTTTAAAAAACAGAAAGGAGAAAATTTGCTTTTGTTCTCTTGTATTGTATATTCAAATGGTAAATTTGTATTTTTCGCACTGTTACATGCACCACCCCCTTCCCATCGTTTTTCTGTGTATGTGTGTTATTTTTTTTCTTTGCATTATTTAACGCCTAACATTTGATTGCTTTTTAAACTTTTTTACATAATTGTACGTAATACCACCTTCTGTTGCCATAACCGCCTCCTTTCCTTCTGTGTGTCCTTGCACTAGACTCTGGTGCTTAGACATCATCATGTTATCTCCGGAGCACTATTGTGCTTTACAATATCGGGCGATGGAGAAAATGGGCGATGTAAAAATTGCGAGCTGTGATGATAGGGCGTTGTTACCGCTGTTGCCGAGGCCGTGGCCAACGTTGCCGACGCTGTCGCCGAGGAGGCTGTTGCCGAGGATACACTGCTGGGGCTACTGCTGCTGCCACGTTGATTTTGAATTGTTATTGTAGGTGGGTGTTGATGCGCTGCTGCCTGTTGCTGGTGGTGCTGGTGAATATGCTGCTGTTGGAGGTGGGGGTGCTGCTGATGTTGATGGTGCGGATGATGGGCCACCGCCGCCGTCAGTGTTGCTGCTATGCTGTTCGCAGTCAAATTAAGTTTTTCCGGTGAATTGACACGTATTTTTGGTGGATGCGATGATTGTGGCGACGTACAATCGACAACATAAGCCGCCGAGGCATAATTAGGATGCAAATGATTACCCCCATTCATGGCAGCCAAAGCTTGCGGCAGCTGTGGATGTGGTCTTATCACCATCGGTTGTATGGGAAACTGTTGGGTCATTTCTTTAAAGTTGGCAAAACTTTGCAAATATCCTGCACTGAAAAGACTTGTGGCGGCCGCATCCAGTTTAAACGAAGGCAAACATGAGGGTGGCAATGTAGCGCTGGGATATGCTGGTAAATTACTGCCCGACAGTGAATTTGACAGATCTCGTGGTTTATCATCATCAATGCTGAGACTTTCGTCGTTGGCGCCATTCGAAGTTGAACCGGGGCTGTGTTGCAAATGTAAACTACCCGGTACCGGAGAGTGGGTACCCAGCGATATGTCAGAGTCGGAGGTGTCTGAGGGTGTTGGTGAGGGGGCACCATCGGGTCGACGTCTGCAGCCGAGACCGGAATTTTGATTATGTTGTAATCTAAAAACAAAAGAAATGGAGAAATTGTTTTTAGAGATGAAAATTTGGTAATATTCTTTTTGCAAAAGATGAGATATATTTTGAAGTAATCCACTCTGGTTTCTTGTGTGAGAGGGAGAAGGCTCATTTTCATATCAATAAGAACAACCCGTTACTTTACAATATCTGAATCACATTAAACCAATATCACAAATTCCCATAATACTAAATTTGTAGCCAGCTGTGATTTTGAGCTGTACAATTACAAACTGGATCTTTCATATCACAGACACGCCATTCAGTGTTACCATCCACTTTAATCTCAACGTTATTGATGAACTTTAGACAAAATAAAAAAAATCACTTCAATCAGATGATGGTCCATTAGGCCGATGGGAAAAAATGTAGCCTAAAAATCAACTTCCAAGTCAAGGTCTAAAATAAAGCCTCCCTTGTAACGTAATGAGGTTCCGACTTCAAATTAGTTATGCCTGATGGAAATATTAAATGCTTAGTTAAGAAACATTGCAAATACTACAGAAAAGAGATGGGAAGGGGTATGGAGCGACCAACATTTTGCCAGCCACGATGGCATCATCTAAGACAAAACAACATTTCTTTGAAGGTTAGGTGAAAGATGAAATAAACGATTAGTCTCGAAAATGGCCGTTTACATCTCAATTTATTTATCATCTACCATGAATTTGTGTTATGATAGCCAGCAATTTGACTGATTAACCTCTTTTGAAGATTTGCCGCATATATATGTATGTGCAACTTTGAAAAAAAAAATCTATGGAAAAATACACGGAGAAAATGTTTTGCAATACATTTGAAATGAGATATATGATTCTTTCGGCTGAGAAGTAAAAGGAAAAATTTATTAATTGTCAATAAGAGTTTTCTGACATCAGCTACATCTAAAATGCAGGAATATCTTCTGTATCTTTAGTAGAAGGGTTTGATGTGTGTATTAATTAATGATTTAATTTGATGGAGTTGTCAGAGTGGTACACATCCAACAATAAACGAAAAAATGTTATTTCTCTTTGTTAAAAGAATTTATTTTTTAAGTGAAAAAAAAAACAAATATTAAAGAAATAAATGTTACATTAGAAAAGTTTTCAGAAAATCAGATTTCCATTCCATTGCAGGATTTTTTAATTCTTCGATCATACCATTTAGGTGAAATGAAGGTGAAATTTATCACAGCTCAATTTTACTCTCGAGAGAAAAATACTTGAGAACAGGAATGCCCGAAGACTACGAATTTTACAAGAAGTTTTCTATTCGCTCTTTTATGTTCTGTGGCGGTGCACTCCTATTTGAAAAATACAAGTTGGAGTCAAAACGTTCGAAATAGAGTAAGTGTTTACTCTAACAGTGAAATCGAGTGAAAATCGGGGATAAGAGAGTAGATCGTGTACAAAGGCCAAGAAGAAAAAAAACAGCAGATTTTATGCACAACAACAACCACACTACATAGACTTTGTTGGTAGATATTGGTGGCAATGCCAATTCAATTTGTTTCATTTAGGGATGTGTGTTGAAAAAATGCACATACTAACAAATAAAACAGCGGTATAAGGTAACCTAAAAAAAGTTCTCTGCAAAATTAGAATATTTTCTTACTAACACTCAAAAACGAGCAAAGCGTGCTCGCTTTAATTCCAGTGATAGAAGAATAAAGTACACAACTCGAATTCGAGAAGAGAGTAAAACACAAAGAGAATGTATTATTTTTATCATTTTTTAAATTTTTCTCTAAGTGTTCCTCTCATACCATGTTATATCATCGAACCCATGACATCTTACTTTTATTCTCTCACATAACTGATGTTTGTACATTTGAAATCTGACCACCATTAATCACTCAACACGTACATTAAATGCTAAATGTTTTGCCGCTACCAAGGAGGTATGAAGTAACAATAACCGCAACACGCTACATCACACGAGCTCCTTCTAAATGGTGACTGACTGAAGTCCCGCAAAGCCTGTCGTTTCAAATCACACTTTACCATACATATTCCAAAGCAAAACAAAAAATGAATGATGGGATTTGTTGATTCATTTTGGGCCACCAATCTTCTCTAGCTCTTCAACTCCATGGCTGTGTCATACAGTCCGGTGGTCATTCGTTGTTGTCCGTCATACACGCGAACACGAAACGTTTAACATTTTTAACTAAACGAGTAAACCGAGAGATAATTATGACAATGTAAGCGAATCAGCTGGATGCCGACAACCAAAGGTGTATTATTGTTATGGTCCAACCCATCACATTAACTTGCCACAACTGCTGTTGCGGCGATGGCGAGTGAGTGAATGAGCCACAGCGTGTCTCGAAGATAAATGAACGACATTAGTAAAGTTCACAACATCAAATAATGATCAAGAAAATAAAACTCTACATCGTATAAAAGATAGGAAATCCCAGTGGTGTTGGTGAGGTGAAAGGAGCTGTATATCACCAACACCACCATCATCAAGAAAAATATCACCTTCTATGGTGCCCGAAAAAAAGGTGGCAATTGCCGCCAGCTTCACAGCATCCGTAATATTGTTTCTCCTGATGATGACTATATTTCTTTAGCGATGTCTTACGGCGTGGTGTTGTTGTAGGTTAAAAACGTAAGTTGTTATTTGCCAGACATTGTGGCAAAACGCTTACTTAATAAACGTTTAACTAATCATTAGTGAGGTTGCAGAGATCACATGTCTACTTTGATCTTTTTGCTTAATATCTTCTTGAAAAGAAATGCGCCGTAAACTAACTGACCCCTTCGAAGACTTTATTTTGAGTAATTTTATTAAGCTTGGACTAAGAGAAAAGCATCATAATTAAATGGCAAAATGTCATTGTAAGGTGACCTCAGGCGGTAATTTCTTTAATGATGATCTTTAGACTTCTTGCACATTTTTTTTTATTTCCAATAGATGTTTTCTTTTCTCTGACTTGACTTTTTTTATCTTATGAACTTTGTTCATAAAACTAGAAACGCTCTTGTTTTGTGTGTGGGAAAGAGATAGAGAATGAACATTTTTATGGAGTTCGGTTTTTAATAATGGAATTTCATCCTGGACTTTTCTAAGTAAATGTTTTTGTGAACTTTGTTCGTAAAACCAGAAATTATGATTATTTCCAATAGATGTTTTCTTTTCTCTGACTTGACTTTTTTTATCTTATGAACTTTGTTCATAAAACTAGAAACGATCTTGTTGTGTGTGTGGGAAAGAGATAGAGAATGAACATTTTTATGGAATTCGGTTTTTAATAATGGAATTTCATCTTGGAATTTTCTAAGTAAATGTTTTTGTGAACTTTGTTCGTAAAACCAGAAATTATGATACCTCGTTTAGGAGAGAGAGTAAGAGAGAGATTTTGTAATCAATCGATATATTTCGTTCTGTGAGATTAGTACTGTCGAATACGAAAATTTCTTATTTTTTTCAACAAATATCTATTAAGGGAAAATATATGTTTATATTCAGTCCTGAGAGGGATGACAATCTAAAAATAGAAGTGACCCTCTGAGTTATAGATCTTCAGTTATGCTAGTGGTGATCGTTTTTGAAAATAAACGATCACCCAAAAAACAGATGTTTAAAAAAATAATTCTTTAAATATCCTTCTTATAAATTTTATCTAACGCAAAATTCCATCCACTGTTGATTTACTTTTAAATTTTAAAAACCTAATAATAAATTGCAGGTAAGTGCCATGCTACTTACTCGGTTAATTAAAAAACCCTGTTTTCATCATATACATTTTGAAATATATTTATTTTTTTGTCACGGCAGGAAATTGACCCATTTCATTTGATCAGAACAATGGATTAATTCGTGAAATGCCGGCCATTGTTATGTGATTTCGAATTGTGTGAAACATTTAATTTTGTTAAGCATTGTGGTATTTAAACGATATCATTTGATAACTAAGTGATTTTCGAATTAAATTGTGAATAACACAAACATCCAAACCCCCTTTCAGTCATTTGGAAAACGCATTGGCTTGATGTTCTTTTTTTAGAAGCAGCAGTAATCCGATGATGGCGTATGTGAACAGCTATCTTCAATGATGAAATTGAATAATGAAATTTTGAAAAATTCAGAAAATCTCTGTGTTAAAAAATTTGAAGAAATGGACACAAACCACAACTGTTCAAAAATTTCGTATCGGACCTAAATAAATATGAAAAAAAAAAATATTGTGGCGTACCAGGTTTGGACTATATTGGTTACTCCCTTCAATATATATGAGATATGTAATAATTTGAAAAAATGTTAAAATGTGACTGAGGTAGCAGGTCGTGAGGTCGTGAGTCGACCGAAGTATTTCATTTTCATACTTCATCTACCACTGATAAAAATATTGGTATGGTAGAAAGAAAATAAAATCTAACATTTAGATCCAATTTTATGAGAAATCATAAATTCCATATTCAGGTTTCTGGTTGAGAGAAATATTTTGATGTATCAAGTTGTCGCTGACATGTTTCGAAAGTTATGACAGTTAAAAATATTGAAATGTTGACACTTTGTGGGTGAGGTACGAGAAGGGGTTCGCAGATATATATTGAAGAGAGTTGGATTCTTATTCCGCTTTCTTTGAGAGTTTTGTTTTCAAAATCTTGAACCCTTTATGGGGAAGGTACCAGGAGAAATGATCTGATCTCCACCATCTTTTTAACAGATCTTGTGATGATGGAAATATTGAGGTGTACCAAGTCCGAATGGAATCGGATGTTAATTTGTTTTTTTATGAGATTCATGGATATTCAAAATTTTGACCCCTTGTGGGTGAGGTACCAAAAGGAGAGGGGTTTATAAAAATATTGGCATTCGTGTAATTTGAAGGCATCGTCTTACATCACATTTTATAAGAGTTGAAATTAGGGAGGGACAGAGGGACGGACGGACATCGCTAGATCGACTTCAAATGTCCTGAAACTGGTTTAGACTAGGTCTCTTTGTCACGGTCTAAAACTGTTATTTCGACTTTGGCACGAATCACATGA